TAAATGAAAACATATATAGACAACTCAGCTTAAAAGCAATCTTAGCCTACATTTGCTTCTCTCTTTTCCAATTCCTTTTGCTTTTTTGCACTAATTACATAATTAGATCTTTTTATATGTTTACCAGACTATTCCCTAATTATTTTTATGACACTATGCCATACTGTAATGAATCAGAGTATAAAATAGAATATTAAAATATTTTATATGCACACTCATCTACATGCATTTATGCAATCAAGGCTCTGTGCCTGTATCTACTCCCTCCTTAGGCAGAATATAAACTGTGGAGGGGGGCCATGCTTTATAATTAATGACATTGCTGGTGCTTATTGTTGTATAAGATACGAAGTTGGTAATGAAAAAAAGATGTCTTGAATTCCTTTCTTCATACAGGAACAGATAGGAATGGCATTATCTCCCAATCCTATCCGCCTGAAAGAGAAAGTGACCATCTTTGAAGATGTCTCTTCTAAGAAACAGTAAGACATCTCCTCGGTGAACAAGAAAAAACACTGTTTCTAAGCCACATTTTTCTCTTCGTAATCAAGAGTTTAAAAATGAACACATGTGACGCAAGAGCTCTCAGAAAGAACTCTGTTCACTTACTATTCAAGGTTATCACAAATCACATGAGTTAACGTAAGATCAGAAGGAAAATGAGGTACCTAAACATTTCCCATCTACTCCATCTAATCTTTAGGTAGTGCAACACAGAACAACGCCTGGATTTTTTAAAAGCTAGTGACCGTGGACTTAAATACAAGATGCTATGAGTTCCACAAATATGAGATAATTCTGCAATAGTCTAAAAACACAGGGTTGATTAAAAGAACACATATGCTGGTATATAGATTTGCCACATGCAAGCTAAAATAAATCTTGTATCTTCTCTACTCAGACAGAAGAAAACTTTTAAAGCTCAGTATTAAAATTTAATTGGTAACTTTGACCTTGGGTTCCACTTTAGGTGAAATATATTACACCAGTGCTTAGATTTTCTTGAGATTTATGATCTCATGTTCTTGAAAAAGGCCTAGCACCTCCGTGTTCCTGAAATAATTGATCTGTCTCTTATAAGTGTTATTTTCCTGAAACCAACATCTGTCTCAGGAAGAAAAGTACAAACTGATGAAAATACCCTGCTATATTTAAAAAATCCAAAAGAGCTACCAGAATTTGCATCTTACACATTACTATTACTATATTTATAAAAGCAGTCAAGATCATAAATTGATAAATTTCTTAGCACATAATAGAAGACAAGAAAAAGTCAACTAAACTGCAAAGCCATTTGTAAATATTATCTATAAAGATTAACTACAATTATTAATAAAAAGTAAAAGTTTTAAATATGCAAATAAGACACAATGTAAACCTCACATCTTTCGTGGTTTGAACTGAACTCCACAATATTTGCTTTTAACCTTGGGAGTTTTTCTTTCTTTGTTTCTTTATTGCAATCACAAACACTACTAACTTCACCAAAAAACTCTCAACCAGCACTGTTGATTGTGTCTCTTCTTAAAGATAAGCAAAATATCTTGGAAGCCATCAGGTAAGTAGGGAACAACAGCAAATCTGAAAATGACTGTGATAATGTAACTTCTAGCTTCACCTAGAATTCAACATAAAATTCTGAGTTTCTTTGCAAAGAAATAATTGGCAAATACTTTTGATTCTCCTACACATGACAAAACGTCCAATATTTAACATGCTCTACCACAAAGTAATTATTATAATAATTGCCACCTCTTAGCATTTACTACATACTTGGCACTGTTATAAGTACTTTTCATGTATTAACTCATGTAATGCTCAAAACAACTTTGTAAGGTAGCTACTATTATTAATCTCCTTTTACAAATGAGGAAACTACAGAGAGGAAGCAAATTGCCAAAGGTCAACAGCAAGTAAACAGCTAAGTTGGGTCCTCAGCCTAGGCAATATGGCTCAGAGCCATGCTTCCCACCATTGGACTATTCCATATTCCTTGAGTATACTGGTCCACTTTATCAGCAGGAGGAATTTAAAAAGCAAGAGAGCCAGTGCATGCAGAAGTATATAGCCATTCATTAATTCATTTAATAAATATTTATTAAGCACCAACTGAAACTGTATGCAAGCCCCTGTGTCCTTGTCCTCTGAAGTAAAAGGCTTTTGCTTTAATCTCCCAGGCCTCCCTTGAGTCTCAAAAGGCTGGCTCAAGAGTTAATGATTGGGAAATGTGAAGATGATAGAGAAACAAAGAATAGCTGTTGGGCTGGGGAACTGGTAACAATTTAGACTATAAATCCACCACATGGCAGAATCACAGAACTCACAGTTCCCTGAAAGATACAGAAAAAGTCCTGACACACATTCCTAAGTTGTTTTTACAGGGAGCAGACACCCTCCAGATGAAAATTGCTGATCACAAAAATGTACAACCTAGACTGGTTGAAACCAGAAGGCTGATGATACTTGAAATTTCACCCTGATGTCAACCAATCCAAGAATTGTGCAAGAGCTGATCACACACCTTGTAGTTCCCTCCCTCACACTGCCTTTAACACCCCGTCCCTGAAAGTCTTTTGAGCATGAGCTGCCCATTCTCCTCCCTTGGTGCCCTGCAATAAATGCTGTACTTTCCTTCACCACAACCTGGTGTCAGTAGATTGGCTTTACTGCCCAAGGATGAGTGGACCTAAGTTTAGTTCAGTAACACTACTACCCAAAGAACTATGCATTAAGTTCCTTTCCAGAACAAAAGGTCTATGGAGAAGATATGTAATTTACTTTGGACAGGGCTCTGAAATTTGGACCTGGTGAAGTGGTTACATCTGACCTCCCAAATTCTTTAATCACTTTTTTTCTACAAGCCACTCTAAGTGAGACCCTGGAAAGTAGTCAGTGTGTTAACACTTGGAAAAGACAACTAAAATAGCTAAAAGAGAAAAGATTAAAGGACCTTTCATAGTAAAAACACTGATAGCAAATAATGCTCCTTGGAAGCAGTCTGTCCATGCTTAGGAGGTCTCAGTTTTATTGATCCCTTGTTTAAATATCCTGGAGTGAAACTTCTCCCACACAACTGTGAAAATCTTAACAATAGTTACATCAGGATCAACTCAGAGTAAGACAGTCAGTCATCAAGCTAGGGTTAACTTTGAGCAAAAAAGCTTTGCAACTTGCCAAGAGAAAGTAATAAACAGAAATAAACAGAAATAAGCAAAGATAAAAAAGACAACCAACTCTAAACACAAAATTCAAGCCTAACATCAAAAGACACTCTACAGGGAGAAATGATTATTACATTAGGATCTACAACAGGCAAGATCATCAACTATTTGCTTTCTTTTCAAAAGTGTGGAAGAATGAGAAAACACATATGTATTTACTATACCTAATGGAAAGCTATGTGTGTGTGTATATATATATATATACACACAGCTATGTATATTATATATAATGCATATTTTTCCCCCAAACATAACATATGGCACTACTTCTTTTGTATTTGTATGTTTATTCTTCATGAAGTTCTAAAAACTTTGGACAAATATAAATACCGGAAGAGCTATACCTAGAGAAAGCCATCACCTTTAGGATAAAGGAAGATAAACTATTTTATTATTGGTCCACTTTGCCATATTTATAATCTGTAAATTCATTATACCTCCCTTTAAATAATCTAAGGGCTCCTAAAAATTCTGGCTATAATGTACATAGTTAAAAGTCAAATGTGTTCCTACTGACACACTGTATATATAGAAATGCATTTCCTTGGGGGAGAATAGATTAAATGAAAATGCCCACAGAAGAAAGAGAAAATAATATTTATAAAGTTTAGGTAATTTTCAGAAACAGAAATACTATAACTCATACAAAATAAAGAAAAAATATTATGTTCACAGTCATACACTCCTACTAAATAGAACAGAAGAAGTCACTTTTAAATATTATTGTAGAGTTTTCTGCAAAGGGTATCATCTTGGGAAAGTCAGAACCAATAAAAAAGCAAACCAGAACCCCTAATTTTTTTAATGGCCTTAATTTTGTTCTGTACTTAAAAGATTTAAACTGATCTCAGGACACAAGTGAGGCAATTTCTAGCCAGAGGCAACAAAGCTCCCATAAATCTTTTCAAACAGCTCATAAACTGGCATGGCTACCAGGGGTGTGGTTTCAGTGAAAAGCTATAATGCTTTGAAAGCTAAACTTTACAACTAGGTGAACACTGTTTACGATGAGAAAACAAAACACATAATCCAGATTCTTTTCCAGCAAGACTACTCTATAGTTCATGTTCTACTTGATTTATTATTAAGTTCATATATTTGGAATCCTTTAGCCATGAATATCTTTTACTCACAATAATATGACCATATACACAACAAATTTTGGGTAATTAAACTATGGAAGGCATTGCTTAATGGACAAAAAATAATTATATGAAAATAATGACAGGGTCAACCTCATGATATTAAACAGGAAACAACTGAACACTCTCTGCAGACAAAGAATTGGTCTCTGGAGAGGACACTTGTTCACAAAGTCCTTAAACTCATTCTTGTATTATAAAATAATATAGATATAGGATAAAGGAAAGTATTTTCCCAAATGGGGAGGGTACCAAAGTTGTCTGGTTTATGACCTCCCCCCACGCCCTCAGAACATGCTGATTTTTTAAGTGCTGGTTGATTTTTTCCAGGTTTGGGAGGGAGCAGGGAAAGGGTGTTGGATATGTTAGCATTAACCAGGCACCCTGAGGCTGTTCAGTAAGCAAATAACCAGCTCAACTGCTGATTGCGGAAAGACTGTGGTACTGATGGTTACTCATCACATGACCCTGTCCTAGGTAAATGATTTACACAGTAGACGGTCACCTCCTGGTCACACATTATATACCAAACTGCGAGGAACACAGGCCAACAATCTGTCTGACTTTCTACAGCAATTCCCATATACTTTCATAATCACTTAACTGAAAAAATGATTATAGATGTTTAATCACACACCTGGATCCACCTGCTTGGGGGTTCTTCGGAGTCCATTGGTCCGTTTCTGTACAGAAAGGTAAAACAAAGAACAACAAAGATTTCGTGTTATCAAATTGTATTATTTTGTGACACTTTGGAAGTCCAATGAATGTTGCACTTTTTCCATTTAACACTACGACATTTAAAATAGATAACCAACAAGGACCTACTGTATAGCACAGGGAACTCTGCTTAATACTCTGTAATGACTTGCATGGGAAAAGAATCTAAAAAAGAGTGGATATGTGTATATGTATAACTGATTCACTTTGCTGTACAGCAGAAACTAACACAACATTGCAAATCAACTATACTCCAAAAAAACTTTTTTTTAAAAGTATGACTAAATTTGATCAAAACACTTGGTTCCAAGGTTTCTTTTTATAATTTTTGTTTCTCTAATAAGTCTTCCACTTGAACAACACTGCATTTGATAAATCATTGATATAACACTATGGGAAAGAAATATCTTTTCATTCACCATCTCTGGCGATTATGACTCATTTTTTTAAGTCATAATGACTATAGGAATTATGAAAACAAAGCCCAGGCAGCCATTTTTGCTTAGAAAATGCTCCCAACGAAGAGTTTTGATCTCCAAAACTCTAACGCAGCTATTTTTGAGGCCTGACAGACCTGGAGAAAGTCAGTCCGAAAGACAGGGACTGGAGAAATTATACAACCCCAAAACAAAGATCTCAAGCTCTGACTTTAGCAAACACTTAAATGAGAATGGTGTTTTAATTATGGATCAGTGATATCTGAATATTTTAAGGAACAAAACAGCCATGCAGCTTGTGAACCATGAAAGTAAATTCTTATTATAGAAAAGGAATCCATAAGAAAAATTGTGCATTACAAAAATTATAGATAAGATGCAAGACAAAAGAGGTTTTAAATCTTTGAAAATGCCTGTTTACACATTCGATTTCACAAGCATTAAATTAATTCCTACCTAATAACTATGGTAATCTGACTAATTAATAAGAACTTGATTTTCACTTTTCGTTATATAACTGGATGAAATGCTTAGTCTGTAACTACCATATAATTCAGATATTCACAAAAGCAATTTTCTTTCTACATGTGTTGGGGTTTGTGCCTGTGTGTGGAGACTTGGTTTCATTCAGAGCAGACTTGGCTTTGCCAAGCACACATTAGCCATGGGTTTTTCTTAGGGTTCTTCCTGTTGTTTTTATTCATAAGTTAAATGGGCCTCAAAGCAGATGTCAGGGTTCTCAGGTAAAAGCAAATTGGAGAATTATTAAAAATATAAATTTTGTTTTTAACCCAACTACTTTTAAAATGGATTTGTGAAGGCCTAATATGATCATTAAATCAGCATTGAAGCTATACTGAACAAGGTGGATGGCTATACTGAAAAAAAAAAAAAAAAAACCCTAGTATAAAGAGAGCGCTGTGAGTGAGGAGAAGAAAATATCACACTGGGCTTCTTAACAGCCAAGCACAAAACGGGGAAGCATGATGAGTTATAGGTTCATATCCAATCACTTGGAAGAAAACTGCTTTCAAAAAAGAAATCTTTTCTGTCTAAAACTTTATAAAATTTTTGGAGCTCTCTACATAAATGACAATATTTTCAACAGGAAAATATATAATGATGGATGTCTTGTGGCTATTTACCTCCTGCATTTTCCTCCACCTTCTTAATGTACAACAGAAGCTGTTTTTCTACTACTCTAACTCCTCTTACTATCACAGTGCTTGGAAGGCAAGAAAGAATTCAAACTTTGGCTCTTATTCCTACTAGCCCTAAACTAGTACTATTTAAAAACTATTAACTTAGAAAGTGTAAAAGGGAATTTCAGTTCAAGAGCAACTCTATATGACCCTGAAGTTAGGATTAAAATAGGGAACATGGTGCAATTATTAAGAGTATGGATTCTATATAATCTGACTGCATAAATTCAAATTCAGACCCTCCCTGTCACTTGACACCTGTTTGATTGGGAGCAAATTAGTTGAAGTCTCTGCCTGTTTTTTCATCTATAAAATGGGGATAATAGTAGCACCTATTTCATAGCATTTGTGGTGAGAGTTAAATGAGTTAACTTATGTTAAATGCTTGGAACAGTTCCTGACACATAGTGAGGATTATTAAGTGATAGCTTATTATTATTGATATAATTGTCATTATTATTCATTTCATGATATTTTGAATGTTTAAACTCAGGTAAATGATACATTTTGCTACTAAAGTATTACCCTACTATTTATATTTTAGGTTTTTCCTCCTGAAAGTCATTGCAAATCAGTGATCCTGAAAACAAACATTTCTACAGGAAGCGTAGGCAGTGGAACAAACTATGATCTGGTGCATTTTAAAAAAGAGAGAAGCGACTTAGACCAAGTACATTGGAGAGCTTGAGATTTATTATACTTAAAAAGCACCTAAAAAGTATTTTATATTGTAAAAAATTTGGAAATGTTTAGCAGAACCTATTTAAACAATGTTAAAGTGCAAATTTCAACTGTTATTCTATCATATCTTATCCAACATACTCCTCTCCCCCACCTATATTCTCAAAAGCCTGCGATAGAGCTGGACAAGATGCCGTCCCTAGCAGGGAGAGGAGGGCACATCCAGTTGCCACCCCTGGGAGCTCTCAGTTACAGCCCCATGAGATCCGACAATCAGTCTTCAGCACATTCTCAACTTCTTTGGTCTACCGAGAAGTAGGGGACGGGCGGGTGGGGACAACCAACCAACCTGATTTTATTTCTTGCTTCATTACCTATTACCTTGTCTTTCTCTAAAAGAAATGCCTTTATCGTCCAAGAATCTCTCTTCTTGCCTCTTTTAGGAGAAACCTAATTCTCTCTGTTGGTTTTACCAACACAACGAGCAAAGTTTCATTTGCTATATGAAACTGGCTTTGGTTCCTCTACCTATTTTAAAAGCAGAAAAACCTACGTTAAGGAATAGCTTTGAAGTAGATATATATTAAATAGATATGTGATGATAACCTTGCTTCCTGGAGCTAGAAGTGGCTTCTGAAGGTCCACTCCAGAATGGGAGGCAAGATGAACATCCCAGGTTAGGGAGGCCCAGGGCGATCCTGTGGCTATTGAGAACTGACCTACCTTGAGAATGAAGCGTGAAATTAAAAATTCACAATCATGGCCATTGACAGGGGAACAGAAGAGGACTACGAATTGGTACATGGAGAAAAAGAAGACCTCCAAGAGAGGGGGGAAAAAATCACAGAGCTTACAAAAGGTCTTCATTGGTACTTCTGGGAAGACTCCTAAACATCATATAAGCATCTGCCTCAGAGAGTGAATATACCTTCCACAAAGTCTTGGTGGGGAGGTATGGAGTGAAAGATGTTTCTTAACATTCTTTTGCTATACTTCTCCCTTATGCTAAGCTAAAGTTTCCAAATAGGTTGGCCAGTATAAGATTTTACTATAATTATCCATCCAAAGTAGAGATTATTAGCAGAATCACACATTAAATAAAAATTACACTTTGTATAATCAGAAGTTAAGCAAGTCACTGAAGCCAGTCACTAAAATACTGATGCTGCATTTAAGAAAATCAATGTGAAAATTAATTCCTTTCAGAATAGCCTTACGTGTAATTTTTAAGAGTATAAAATGCCTGGAGAGAATTATTTTGTATCATTATTTTGTATCAGTGTGAAAATCATTAGCCACTTCTTATTAGCACACTTTCTGTCTGTAAATACGCCCATTTCTCATTGCTTAAATAAAATCAAGTGAAACCATCTCGCCCAGGGCGGGGGTGGGGGGATACATGTAAACCTTTATCTAAGAGGATAAAGGTAAAGTAATATTGAGTTAAAGTTCAAAGCTCTACGAGGAAATCTGTCTCAATTATCTAATAACAGAGTGAGAGTAAGAGAAAGAAGGCTACTTTCCAAGATCTTCATTGACACTGCTGGAAGAATCCTTACAGTCCTGATGAAAAATCTTACCTATTGACTAAACACTAAAAACAAGTTTATGTTAATTTATTTTAGCCCTAGCAGAACTCGCATGACCTATTTTTTAAATACTATTATCCTGTTATGCATTCCCTGAGCTAGATTCTAAAGTCTAAAATATAGTCAACTGATAACACTTAAAGGGTGCATGTGAATTTCCTCACATCACATTCTTGATACCCTGTATGTACAAATTATATGCTTATGCAAAAAAGTAAAAACAGTTACCTCTCGTTTGACATCTTGCTGTACTTTTCATTATTTTTACCAACTATATAAATGCCAGCCTATTAAAAACATACTAATACTATACTACTCTTAATGAGATATAATTGTCATGTGCTAAAATACTTTGACATAGAATGTTTTTTGTCATTCTTTTATTCTGAAATTCTCAGATTACTACATTTCTGGTTCATATAACTAATCACAGACATTTTACATTTTAATTTTCATTGCTATGATTTTTTTTGGTGGTCAGGTAAGAAATGTATTATTTTTGGTTGACGCCCAAGGTACCGGTTGCCTGTAATCTGCTATATTTTTCATTCTTTCATATTTTCTTAAAAGAGCTTTATTCTTTTTTTTACATCTTTATTAGAGTATAATTGCTTTACAATGGCATGTTACCTTCTGCTTTATAACAAAGTGAATCAGTTATACATATACATATGTTCCCATATCTCAAGAGCTTTATTCTGAGAGGTGACAGGGATCTCGTACTTCTAAGCCATTAGACCTCAGACTCTGTGTGAAACCAAAAGGATATGTTATCAGATTTTGATTTCATCAATAGGACATGATATGAATCACATTTGTGCTCAAATGGAAAACTGGCAGAAACACGTAACCACATCCTTAGATGAAGAACCTTAGAACTTTTTAGTACTAGCGAATGTTGGGCAGTGACACTGTTTCATGATAGGGGACGGGTCTACTGACTTCTTGGGATGAGGGCCACCCTTCCTTCTGTCCTAGCAGGATCAGAGATTCATTCCAAGAGAACGCCTTCAGACGCATTAAGTTTTTATTTTTAATTACTTTTAAATTTTAATTAAAACATTAAAGTAACAAATAGGAAAACACATTTGCTGGAACAACTTTAGATGGTATAATGAGGCAGGAAGTCAGCTTGAACTTACAGTTGAGAGACTGAAAGCGATGTAGTGCGTCATTTATTTGATTTATAAATTTTATAAAAGTGAATTGATTTGGTTATGTATTAAGTTTTATAAGCCTCAGGGTTTGTGGAATTCTGTAGCTGGGAACTAGGGAAAGGTACCCCCATATTAGTGCCACAACATTGCTACAATATTTATTTGAAATTTACCTGAATAAGTGAGTACCTAAGATTCTGAAATGTCCCATCTCACACACATTCTTAGATGAAATATTCACATTTTTTCTCTACCTAAGATCTTCAGATGGTATCTGAAAATTCCTCTGATTTACCCTGTGCATTTCACTCACAAGCACTTGATTGCTCACTCTAGCTGTTTTCTATCCATTTTAAAAGGCACATTTAACATTCTAGGAGTTCGAGCCTGCTTAAGTTAGCAAACAATTTGAAATGCAAAAGTTATACAAAAAAAATGTAAATGTTAACCTTACCTCGGATGGTTTGAGCGTCCCTTGTTCTGAAACAAATGTAAAAATTGGCATTGTCAGTTATTTTGTTTGGTTAGCAACCTTAACTTGTTCTCTGCAGCAGTGGTAAAACACTACTGCTTTGTTTTCCTAACATTATCTGTAATATATTTCCAGGGTCCCTCAGGCAGGGCTAGTAATTGTTTTGCAACTGGGTTCTCTTGCCTCATTGGCTTGTCAGGAAAGTGACTCATAGTACTAAATGACTTCTTGGTTATGCTTAACTTTTTCAATTGTTTATTAAGCAATTTCAATCCAACCACATAAAGCTCCTTGAAACAGGGACTTGCACTAAGTTTATGTGCAAAAGAGAAAGCTAGGTGGGAACATTTCTTTCAACACACCCAGTTTTAAGAATTAAACACAAATAATTTACAAACGTAGTACACTGACTATAACAATTGCAAACTTAACACATATAATTTGCACATGAATTTTTCTGCATTAAGGGGCTATTGCTTTTGGTTTTAATTTGGGGGGAATACAGTTTGATTTAAAGATGGAAATTTAAAAAGGACAGGATTCAATTCTAATGCTAATTTTCCTTTCATCTCAGTGTACCTGTCTGTAAATAGAAACAACAATCTCCATTACATTTCAGTTCCTGAAAATGACTAACAGTTAGGAAGGACCCTGCGATCTTCAAGTAAGTAACATGGCAGAGGGCAAAGGGTATCTCTGAAAGGAAAGGCACACACTGCTTGTGGAAAATGCTGGTGGTTAATATTTTGCTTCCTTTCCCCATATCCAGGAGCACCTATGCATGTTATAATTTCTCCAGACTGCGAAGGAAAACAACTCATCATTTGCACCTATGCCTATACTTTTCTCAACCAGAATGATCCTCTGAAGAAGGATCTGAGAAGAGAAGACACTGACGGAAATATCAGGAGAGAAAGGGCAGCTCTGTCAGCCTAAATGAACCTCTTATAGAGGTTCCAAGAAGCCTCACAACCAGAGTCCCAGGGGAAAAGTACCAGAACACCTTACTAGCTGTCACAGATTGTTTGACACAGGAAGACTGCCTGGGGCATGGAACAGGAGGTTTTGGGGCTTTTTGTTTTTTAAAGGACTATTCCTGATTAATGGAACTGAAGACGCATGAGCAAAAAGTCACCTTTCTGGAGAAAAGCAAAGCCTGCATTTCTTTGTCAATTTCTACCCTAACATACTAACTTTCATACGTAACTCTCTTCTACGAAGTCATTTTTACCAGGTCTGAAGTTGGCCTTTACAAAGGACAGAAAGGTATTTTCCTTTCCCTCTCTGCTAGAAATATGCAAAGTTGCAGAAGAAAGACTGCCTAAGAGAACTGGACTGGGGAGAGAATCTATGAAAGTACCATTCTGCTGGATACTGTGCCCAGACTTAGAACCCAGGTTAGGTGAACTTGGGTTCCTAACGGAACAGTTGTGATACCTGTTTCACTGGTTTGACCAGAAAGACCTATATGCCAGAAAAGCCCTACACTACTTTCTTCTTCTACTGTTGAGTTAGAGAAAGAGCCTGAACTGGGAGTCACAATCTACAAGAAGCACCAAACAGGAGGGGAGTTTAAGTTTTCCATCCAAGGAGATTGAGGAAAGCTTTGATATTTCCCGATGATCTCTAAAATGGGAAAACCTCAGATCTTTCATGGTCAGTGTTTAAAAATGAGTGTGCACCTTAATTTTAATTCAGAAGTATTTTTTTTCCTGACTCTGCAGAGAAGTGTTTTTATGTCCTGGTGAAGTAGGTCTGTTGTAATATGCTTTAAATGTATTTTATTTTTGGCATAAAACCTATGATAGCCCACGTGGCAGTAGTTGGCACATCACGTTCCAGGAGTGCTCTGGGGTTCCTCAGGAAGAGGAAACGATGGTATCTAAGGTGATGATCTAGCTATGCAGATACTTGCACCTCTTTACCCAGAAAACAGATCTGGGAACAGAAGCCCCTCATTTACAGGCCCTTCTTATGTTGTTGCTTAGTGCAAGCCACCCAGCTCCCGGCATGAGTGAGCACTGACCACGGAACACAAGAGGCATGAATGCGACTGGCAAAGTGAGGAATAAACTAGACTCGGCTGACCACCTTACCCAACACTCTCTCCTTCATTTCTCCCACTGGCTGTTGTCTTCTGCTTTCTTTCTTTGCATCTCATCAAGCAACTCAGCTTTCCTCATAATTCTTATTGGATGTACCTGCTCTTCACAAAGGCTCCTCTGTGTAACCCAGATAGGAAAATGGAAAATGGGCTTTGTGCTGGATGCAACTCCAACTCTGAGGACATGAGTCCTTGATTGGAGCTTACCCTTTCCTTGCCACTACTCCCTGTCCTCAGGGCCACCACATTCCCTCGCCTTCTCCACTGCCACCCAGGAAAGAGGCCTATTTCTTCCATGGACTTGGCATCGAGCAGCTCACACTGTGATCTGCTCATGCTGGGCAGAGCAATAAATAATGGCTCTTGAAAGTCTGAGCTTTTATTTCCTCATATTTCATGGCAAGGTTCTGTAAATATTCTGAGGATAGGGCAAAAGCCAAAGGACTAGAAATAACTCTTAGAATCTGTTCCGAGTTCAGAAATTTTTAGCCAGGCTCCTTTATTTATACTTTTGTACTTGTTCCAGGGGCCGTACCATCAGATTGATTGTCCCCGTTCCAAACACAATCTAAATTCTGATAACCATATTGACGCAACAACTTAAAACTTTCGTGAAACTAACAGTGATGAGAGAGCAGAAAACCCAACTGCAACACTGTGTCATACATTTTCAAAGTAAAATTCCGTTTTGGCTGGGAAAATAGAATAACAACCTCTTCTGATGAAGTATTCTATGGAAAAGTTGCTCTGATTTTGAAGTCTACAACACCATCCTTCATTTCCTCTTGATATATGCCCAAAACGACACTGGTGGGCACTTGGATCTCTAAAAAACTCTTCGTGCGTCACAGCGCTGCATCAGGACTAGAACAATAAGGGCTGATGATTGTCAAATTTAGTTTGGCTGAATTCTGACCAAATAGAAAGCTTGCTGGTTGGGATCTGATGAAAAGGTCTCTCTCTCTTTTCTGTCTCTTTTTCTCCTGGGAACTTCCTTAGGATAGTAATTCAATTCTTCAAGTTTCCAAAAGTTTTTAATCCTCAACTTGTCTCTACCCTGCAGCCGATTTTTCAGGCTCCTATTGATCAAACTATAAAATGTTCTTACCCTTTCAAGAACCTTTCTAGGTGGTGACTCACAGGCCCTCAAGGTATTTACATCTTGCGTTCTTTCATCAAGTCCCAACTGGTTCAATGTACTTCAGAGAAGTGCTGTTACTGAGGCGCTTGGAGTCTGAGCAGAACTCTATCTTCAATGCCGGCATAGGGTCAGTAGGCATATTTGTGTAAGACAAATGATTTTCACTGAGACTTTAGACTCATATCATATCATTCATTAATTAATTTATTTTTTTTTGCAGTACGCAGGCCTCTCACTGCTGTGGCCTCTCCCACTGCAGAGCACAGGTTCCGGACGCGCAGGCTCAGCAGCCATGGCTCAAGGGCCCAGCCACTCCGCGGCATGTGGGATCTTCCCGGACCGGGGCACGAACCTGTGTCCCCTGCATCGGTAGGCGGACTCTCAACCACTGTGCCACCAGAGAAGCCCTCATTAATTTTTTATACATAAACTTCAGTCCTATTATATTTGTTTTCCAATACAAGCGACTCTCGATGCATACATTATCACACAATCTGCTTTGTCTCTTGTCTGAAGTTCTATTTCTTAAGACTAAACAAATCGATGCCCATTCAGATCATTTGTCTTAAAAGGGGCCACAGAAAAGTAATTACCAGGAAAGCTTTTGAAGGTTTTTTGTCATCATGGCTAATATGCTATTTTTATGAAACATTAAAACTAAAAGACAGTTGGGCTGATCAAGTTTTGGAGGAAGTTGCACAATGCTGTGTTCACCACTCAGATCTACAGCAATATTTTGGAGAAAAAAAACCAAAAAACTAATACTTGGAAAGAGGCTTTGATTTCAAATCTTTTCAGGGGCTCTAACAGGAATTCAACCATATAATAGTTTTCAGTTCACTTTAATAATTATTAATATATCATTAAACTGACCCAAATAATTAAATGGAAGGAATAATAACTACCCTTGAGTAAAAAATTGTCTTGATGAGTTAAAAAAGATAACTAATTTATATAAAAGGCTTTAAATAATGTTAAATAGAACCAAAGTTATTTTTTGGTTATGAAATCAATGATCAAGCTTCAGTTTATGTAAAAGTCATGTGATAAAATGCCTAATGGTAGAAGGATGAAATAAAATTATATTCTAAAAGTTCATCTCTTATGATAAAATACTGCAATACTATTTATAAAAGAGCCATTTCAGATGCCAATTTGGGGTGCAGGTCCTAGATAACAATCTTGCAGGTTTAAACCATTAGGATACCAAGGCAACTTCCTTCCAATTAGGAGTGGCTGCAGCACCTAGGAGCAGCAGCTGGCCTAGATAAAAGAGCGATTAAACAGATAAGTAAATGGGGATCTGCTTCTATTAAATATTAGAGCAGCTGAGCCTTGCACTCCCACTAAAGGAAAAGATGCAATAAACCGAAGTCATCTGCTCCAGCAATATTTGCCTTCCAATGTTACTTTCTTTGTTTAAAATGAGAGGATGCAAAGCAAGCTATAATATTGATCGTCAAGGTAAGAAGGGGCCAAGGGGAGTTTAGCCATATATTACAGCAGGGAAAACCCACAAATGCCCCCAAAGGTTATAGTCTAGGACTAGACCTTCATGGTGGTGTACTGGGAGAAAGAAATGCCACTCTAGAATTATATTATCTTTGCAGTGACTGGCTGAGAAAGTGTCACATAATGGAGTTCATAACTATGCATTATTAAGGTTGGAAAGTTTTGGCAGCACACTTCAGAGTCCGTGTACATGTTGATCGCTGAGGTTGCCATGGGGAATGTGAAGAAGTCAACTCAAGTTCAGCAAAAAA